ATTTTTATTTTTTTTTAAAAAATTAAATAAGTTCTTAAATGTTATTTTTTTAAAAAAAATCAATTAAACCCTTGAACTTAGTCAAAAAATCAATTAAGCTCAACTGTCACATAAACATCCATTGTCTAGTGTCATAACAACATCATGAATTGTCCTATCAAATTATAGATTGTGATGTAAGTTTTGTGAACTGTTATGTAAGCGTTGTGACTATCAACATTTGATTTCATTGGTCAAAGGGTTAGATTGATTTCCCCCCTCAATTTAAGAGTCACATTGAGTTCAAAAAATGTTTAAAGGTTACACAATTTTATTTTATTTTTAATTTTTTGCAAAAGTTTAAGGGCCTCAAATACCACTAAATATATATATTTATTTTAATAAAACTTTTGAGTGCTCTTGCTTACAACAACATTTTTATGTATTTTTTAAATTTAATTGATATCCAATATGCATTAACATTATATACTTATTATACACTAAGCTAATTTTTTTGTTATGACATTTCTTATTATTTTGTAATTGTATAACTCACATATTAAATTTATGTAATAATTTTTTTAATAATTATATTTTAATTTAATTATTTATTTATTTTTATTTTAAATAAATAGATACAAAACATATTTTTACTATTTTCATGAATTCAAGTTTGGATGTTGCTGCCACACCCGGCACGGATGAGCACCGTTAAATTAATTTATAAAATGTTAAATTATAAAGTACTAAACGTATAATTATAAATTAGTTAAAAATCTAAATGTAATTTAATTAAAATATAATATTTACAAAACATTAATTTTTAAGGTAAATTATATCACTGACCACCTAATTATTTATTTTTTTACTTTATCTACTGATTTTTCAATTTAATCAATCGAGTCACATAACTATTTAAATCTTATCAATCAAGTCACTTGCCATTAAATATTAACAGAAGAGATGACATGGTAGTTAATAAAAATTGTATAATTACACATTTAGTCCTCATTACTTACACATTCTATTAATTTGATCCTAACTTTTATTCAATAAATTTAATCCTCAATCTAATGGTGACATGTGTCACTGTGTGATTGGATTTTTTTTAATATTTTATTTAATAAAATTTTCATCAAATCAAATAGTGCCACGTGTCACTAATTGAATGAATGGAAAATAAATTAAATAACCACTGCTGATAGAGTTTGAACCTCTGGTGCAAGCCAAAAATCTAAGCACCTTAATCAGTAAGCTAGACCATTAAATTTGTCTAGTATACAAAATATAATCTATATAATTTATAATATAGTTAATGGTACTAAACGACCTTATAAGGAATCAAACATGAAATAATTGAATAGTCTCAAAATATAAAATATATATAAACAAATATTATAATTGATTAATAAATTAATATGTTTTATTTATATTTTAAATCATATTTAATGCAAAAATTAAAATAAAAGTGAATTTACTATGTTATAATTGAAATGTATCATTTTACATATTTTAAATTAATAAATTTTCTTCATTATTATAATTTTATTGAACTGAAATGTATCATTTATTATATTTTAAAATATTATAATATCGATCGGATTCTAATATTATTTAACAACTCTATATTAAAATAGACTAATTCAATAAAATCAAGTTTTCCTAAATTTTCTTCAAATATATATTGAATAAATAATAAAATATAAAGTTCTTACTCTAACCGGGATATAAGCAAGTTAATGTATAAGTTAAAATGCTTACTATGATAAGCCCTCAACTATCAAGAAAATTCTAAGTAAACGAAGCTCTTCGTTATATTTCAATTATTATATATTAATTTTTTTATTTTTTCATTAAAATGATTTAAATATAAATAAAATACATTCACATATTAATCAGTTATAATATTTGTGCATATATATATATATATATATAATATCATATTATCATATTATTCAATTATTCCATGTTGGATTTCTTATTAGGTTATTTTCCTTTTTTTATTGCCATTAACTATATATATTATGTCGTGATAAGTTTGTAATTTGAATGATGTAGTCCAGCGGTTGGGCGTTTGCTTTATTTCTTCACGTTTATGGTTCAAACCCCACCAACAACGGTTATTGATTGAATTTATTTTCTATTCATTCAATTGGCGACACATGAAACTATTTGATTGGATGAAAAATTTATTAAATTAAATAAAATATTAAGAAAAAAATCCAATTACATAGTGATACACGTCACCATCTAATTAAGGATTAAATTTATTGAATTAATTAAAAGTTAGGACCAAATTAATAGAATGTGTAAGTAATGAGAACTAAATATGTAATTATAAAAATTTTATTAACTGTCATATCATCTCCTCCGTTAATATTTAACGACAAGTGGCTTGATTAACAAGTTTTAAATAGTAGGTGACCCAATTGACAAAATTGAAAAATCGGTGATTAAAATAAAAGGGGTAAATAGTTGGTGGTCAATGATATAATTTTCCCTAAAAACTAATGTTTACATTTAGATTTTTAATTAATTTATAATTATATGTTTAATTCTTTATAATTTAATGTTTTATAAATTAATTTAATGGTGCCCATCCACGCTCTACGAGCGTTGTAGAATTTTTCTTCAAGTTTTTATTTATATTAATCAAACATATTTTTTAATTTTTAGACATCTAAGAAATGAAAATTATTTCTTAAAAATAAATAAAAGACAAAAACAAAAAAAATAATTTTCTAGAACCAAACGAATCTTTAATTTTTTGTATCAAAGAGAAAATTTTGATACACCCAACCTCACACTGACATATGCATGTGTATTTACATTTATATATGGATAAAAATTAATAATTTTTTTATTCAATCATAGTACTTTTGTCTATTTGTTTCATTATTTAAATAAAAATAAGTATAAATAAATGGTTCAAAGCAATGAAAAAATTAAAAAATAAATAGCTTTAGGCATTAATCACAGTCTTAACCGAACAACGAGATCAAAATGTTGTAAATCCTTCATCAAGCTCGTTAGATTTTATTGCATATGAGAAGTAAAAGATTGTCAAAATCTTCAAGACATTCAAACATTTCATTTAATTGTATAGCTGTCGTAACCATTTTTAGGTGGAACAATTATTTATGGTTTCAAAAAAACGATTACGACTTTGAATTTTGGAAAATTTGGTGATTTTGAATTGATTAGAATTAAATTGAAAATGAGTCGCCATCGACCTTTGAGTTAGGTAGGTCGAATACCTAAAAACGTCTTTTTAAAATAATTTTAAGAAAAATCATTTTATAAGACAAAATTTGGTCTGCATCCCCAAAGATTCGTTTAAATGGATTCGGGAGTCGGTTACGTGTGAGGAAGGAATAACACCCCCACAACGCCCAAAAACTGGTATTGTGTCGCTTACGCGTTGTCGTAAATGGTGGAAAATACAAATCGAATATAAAGTTAAAATATGATTCGTTTATTGAACATTGATTAATTTGTTTCGAATCAATTAATTAGAGAAAATTCTTTAATTCGAAAAAGAAATCTCGAAATTAGCAATCCTTCATTGGGAAAGCTAACTCGTCTATTTCTTATCAATAAAAGAATGTTCCCTCAATCGATAAAATACAGGTCAAATATAAAATGAATATTGACAGTACAAAAAATAAAATACATAACTTGCATTGATCAATATAAAATAAAAATGAATTAACAATTAACAAACTAAAATTGATTTATTTCAAGTTCCATTTAGTTTAAACGTCGTATTAGATTGTACCACTTCGATCAAGTGATACTTTCTACGCCCGTTCTACAAATTCGCGTTCTTGAAACTATTCGGATAACATTAACAGTTAAAGAAATGGAAATAAATATAAATAAAATACAAAATAAAACATACACCATAAATAAAGTTAAACATATTTATTTACATATGATATAAATAAATACATAACATAAAAAGATGTAGATACGATTGACATAAATACAAATAAATATTACAATCACCAAATATAATAATCAAAAAATAAATAATAAAATTACAAGGACTAACATGGTAAATAAAAAACAGAGTAAAAATCAGAAATATTAAACATTACAGACACTAAAAATAAAAATAACCCAAAATGAAGTTTAGGACTAAAATGCAATAAAACATAAACATGAAGGCCGAATAATAATTAAACCTAAATATAACAATGACTAAAATAAAATACGTAAAAATGTCATGACCAGATTCGAATGTTTAAAAAAAACACAATAAACTAAAACAATGACTAAAATGAAATAATTACAAATATGAGCTCAAAACAAAGTATTTACCCAAAACACACTAGTGAACAAATAGGGATCAAAATGAAAAGTGAACAAATATTAAGTCCAAAATGAAATAAACATAAATCATTAACTGATGACCAAAATGAAAACTACACAAAATTAACAGCTAGATATATAAATATTTAAACAGATATAATACAGGACTAAAATGAAATAAATAGAAACATAAAGGGGCCCAACAGTAATTAAACTAAATACAAACTAGTGACTAAAATGTAATAATTACACATACCATAGCCAAATTGGAATATTAACTAAAATACACAACAACCTGAAATTAGTGACTAAAACAAAATATTTACAAATCCCATGGTCATATTCGAATAGAAGGGAAAATATACAAAATATTATATCAGTGATTAAAATAGAATAATTGTAAATATGATTACCATAGTCAAACATTAAAAAAATTGGAATAACATGTAATATGGGGACTGAAATATTAATGTCGAAATATGAGTGCTCAAAACAAAAATAATCTGAAGCTTCATTTAATGATAAAATAGCAAGATTACAAGGATAAAGGAACCTAAAGCGTAGTTTACCTCTAAAACCTTGAAGAACATGCGTGAGTTTACAAAGCTACAGGGATTAAAAGTGTAGTTATCCCACACTCCAAAAACACGCAGAAGGTTCCCCAGAACGACGTCGTTCTGCTACGTATATAAGACCCAAAATCGGGCTTGTTTACCCATTTACCCCATTTGCTTCGTTTTAAGCCAAAGAAGAAAGAGAGAGTTCTCTGGAACTCTCTCAACTCTCTTCGACGAAAGGAGAACGGCCACGGTGGCCGGAGAATCCCACGGAGAGACCGGCGGTGGTGCACGGCGGTCGGAGAAGAGAAATCGACTCCAAACGATTCCCCTTCTCACCCCAAAGCCGAAAACCACCCTTACTCGACCTAAAAACAATCCCACAAGCCCAGATCTATGAAATACCTCTCGAAAATAACCAACGAGCCGGCGACCTTAGGGCTTCCCGAAGCTCCTCCGACTAAGGTATCCCCTTTCTCACTATCTCTTTCTTTTTCTCCCTCTTTTTCTTTGTTTTCCCCTTTTTTAATCTCTCTCCCGTTTTTAAGACACCCCAATCCCCTCTCTGTATTTCTTTTTTTCTGTTCGAGACTCCTTCCCCCACATCTCCAAAATTCCCTCGAAAATATAGTGCTCTCCCTCTTTTCTGTTGGAATTCGGTCTCTTTCTTGGTGCAGATTATGGGCCTGAATGTGGGTGGCCGACAGGTATGGGAAACAATGTATGGGAGCTGGTGAAGGCATGGGTGAGCTTGGTGGAGGATGATAGTGGGAGGCAACTTCACGTGGGGCATGGGTGAGTGGAAGGGAACATCAAGGTATGGTCCAAAAATTGGTTACAACAGTTTTGTTAAAAGAGTTTATTTGTGCTGAGAGACATCAAATGACTTCATCCTTAATATTAAAAGTACAACTACAGGAAATTCTTCTCTTTACTTATACACACACAGCTAATTTCTAAATGCTTCAAAACTGTTAATTGCAAGGGGTTTTGTTAACAGACTTGCAACTTGGCTATTAGTAAGAATGTAATTGACCTGAAGCTCACGTGCTGCGACTTTTTCTCGCACAAAGTGAAGATCTAGTTCAATGTGTTTACTCTAAGCATGCAAAATAGGATTTGCAGCCATAGCAACTGCATTGGTGTTGTCACACCAAACCTTTGGTACGTCCGGCAAGGGAACTGCCATCTCATGTAGCACAGCTTTCACCCACATTACCTTAGAAGTTACATCAGCCGGACTTCTGTATGCGGCTTCTGCAGTTGATCGAGACACTGCACGTTTTTTCGAGCTCCACGAAAGTAGATGACCCCCATTATAGACACAGTATCCAGAGACTGACCTTCTGTCATCAACATCTCCTCCCTAATCCGAGTTAGAAAAAGCGTTGAGAGCCAATGTTTTCTGCACTTGAGAAGAGAACCAAAGACCAGCTTCTAAAGATCCTCGTAAATACCTTAAGATCTGTTAGACAACCAACCAATGTACTTGTATGGGTTCTTGTAGAAATTAAGCAGTCTTATTGACCGCAATTGAGATATCTGACCGAGTGTGACAAATATATTGAAGGGCTCCTACCACACTCTGATACTGACGTGGTTCATGTAGCAGCTTCCCATCGTGCCTGTTAAGCCATAGGAGCGGTAGCAGGGTTTACATCAAACATTTGGTTCTTTTGTAACAGTTCAGTGATAAACTTTTTTTGGCTAGGAAGTAATCCACGCTCAAACCTATGGACCTTTATGCCAAGAAAAAATTTGAGCTGTCCAAGATCCTTTCGAGGAAAAAATTTCATTGAACTTACGAATGATTCGATCTGCATCCTCTTGTGAGCTGTCAATAATCATAATATTATCTACGTAGACTACATTGTATGTGATATTAGCATCAGCCAAACGAACACAGGAGGGGTCAGCTCTTGTGATTGTATGTATCTTTAACGCTTTGCATATATTAGTTCTCTCATCATGAATTACCAAACTATTCCCTATTTCATGGCCATAAATTAAACATCTAAAGGCGAATACAACGATCAATCACTGAATTAATTAAGTTATGGAATTATGATTAATCACTGAATTAAGTTATGGAATTATGATATTTTAATAAAATATAACATTCACTTTAAACTAAATTTAGTGAGAAAATTAAAAAAAATTGAGGTTTAATGAGATTGAATTTAGAACCTCAAAGGGTGAGTGCAACACCCGGTTAAGCAAGAAAGTCAAATTATGAGAAATAAATAAATTTTATTTATTTTATTAATATATATTACTTAATCAATTTAAAATAAAATATTTTTAACATAAATTTAAATATATTATTTTTATAAACATTATTTCTAATTTTATAAAATTAATCATAATTTAATTTAAATATTTTATCAAAATAACACTATTTTTCTACTTAGTCAATGGTTGGGTGTTGCACACAATCCCCCCCCCCCAAAGAATTCAGGTTTCATTCCTCTTGAGTCTTGTTTTTTCCCCAAATTTAGTTTATCTTAAATATTAGATTTTTATCAAATATCATATCTTTCTTGCTTAATCTGGTGTTTGGACATTGTATTTACCCCAAAGGTTCCAAGTACAATTTCCTTGAGTCGCATTTTTCTTTAATTTTTCATTAATAATATAATGACACATATTATAATTTTATCAGTTGATATTAATTTATTTAAAAAAAAATAACATAAATACACTGATTTAGCTATCGTTAATATGTAAACGTGCTATATCAGTTAATGGTAATTAAAATTTAAATTTTTTAATGATAATAATTGTAATAAAATTCGTTAGATTTTGATGATTAAAATAAAAAACAATCTAGAAATTCTGTGACATGTGTAGGGGTGTTCAATGTTCGGTTAAAACCGAATTAACCGATCAAATCGAAATTTTGGTCGGTTAATTGGTCGATTAATTTAGGGTTCGGTCGGTTAACGGTTAATGGTTTTTTTTTTAAATTTTGGTTCAAAATCGGTTAATTAACCGAAAATATTAAATATTTAATAATATATATATATTATTTAGCTTTAGGAGTGTTTTAACTCGATTTTTACCGAATTAACCGACCAAATTAATCGAATAAAACAAAAAATATTAAATATATATTATTTATAATTTTCGGTTAATTCGGTTAACCAATCAATTAACAGAACTTAATTCAGTTCGGTTAAATTTTTAAAAAAAAAATTAATTCGATTAACGATTAATGAAAAAAATTCAATTAATGAAATTTGGATAATTCGGTTCGATAATTACCATTTGAATACCCCTAGACATGTGTAGTCTCTATATATGTATGTTTTTTTTGCTCACATTCCAAGACAGAATTGCTTGCAAGATCCCCAGGAAAATCTGCAGAGATTCACGTCAATCTCAATTGATTTTTCCAATTTTTGGAACTATATTTCTTGTCATTTACCGGAATATGTCAACACCATTATGCCATGTGATAACAAACATCTTTAAAGACCCATCAAAAGTCAACTTGTATTTCTGCAGAGCTCAGAGCTGTCTCTGCATGAACAAACAAACCATGAAACATCTGCAACTTAAGCCTGAAAAAAAGCTTCGCCAATCTTTGATGTTGTCGCAACATTTTCTAAAACTTTGCAAATACAAAGATGCCAAAGCTGTCCAATGCATGAGAGATATGCAAATAGACCAGTCTCTTAGTGCTCTTTAATGAATCATGTGATCCGGCTGCTTCTCTTACATTTTAGAGAGAAGAAAATGATAATAAAGAATTTTGTATTAATAAACAACTCCAGCTGAAATAGTTATTACAAATCTGCGATGACTAGGATTTTCTCTTATTTATGAAGGCAAAATTTACTAACAATCCATCAACTCAAAAGCTCATTGACAAAAGTAACAGAATTTGGAAATAAAACACAACATAAAAATCACCAAAAAAGTTGCTTCTCTTGTAGTCTAATTTTGTTCCTACAAACATCTTCCTGCATAACCAGCATTTCTAAACAATGTTTGCTTTATGTCCTCAGAACTAGTTAATGTCCTCTGTTTCAAGTCCTGCAATAATGGCCAAAATGCCTGTAAGATAAATGTTTCAGACAGGCTTAACCAAGAACTAATTCATAGACATTAACAATTTTGTTTTTTTTTTATTACCTCTGAGCAAGAAGCTTGCATTGCAAAATTATTGAAGCAGCTAATAACACATTGTTCAATATCAAGGCCTAATGCTTCCAATGTTGTTAAAGTTGATAACAACAATCCCTGTTTCCCAGAGCAACAAATCTCAATCCTCGTGTCCACGTTTCTTCTTTCCACTTCAAACTGCAAGACAGCAAGTTTAGGGACATTAATTCAGGGTTTGAGTGTTTGAAATAAGGTTTCGCCTTAAATTTTGGAGAAGAAAATGAGTACCTTTGGTGTCTTTCTCACTAAGATTTCATTTGGTTTTATTTCATTGAAAATGTGAGCCATGTTTAACTCATTTGAGCCTGCTTCGATTTCCTTCTGCAAATTTGTAATCCTCTCGAGAAGCTCCTTTGTGTAATCTATGGTATCTCCAAGTATGGATGTCCTATCCATCTGTTGAAACATTAATAAAAAGAAGAAGAAAAACAGATTAGTCCCCAAAAGACAACTTGCATTTTAGCACTGAAAGACTGTGTCATTGATATCTTACCTTGCTTATCTTAGGAACAATTGATCTTAACATGGAAAGGCGGTCGTTTAGTCGCTTTCTTCTCCGTCTTTCCGCCATTAGATTCTTCGACGGCTGACCCTTTAATTTCTTGGCTCGATTATTGCGGTCTGTAGTACTGCAGGTCTTCAAGTTGAAAACCGCTTCAGGAGATTGAATAGGCTCAGTTTTGCAAGCAGATACCGCTTGGACATCCAACATGTGAAGTTCATCTACGAGTAAGCCGGATTCTGCTTCCTCCACATTATTCAACCAGTGATGATCTTCTTGAACCGGACAGGGCGGCGTATCGAATGTGTTGTTCGATGCGTCTGTCAGTTGTGGTGCTGCAGAGAATTCATCGCCGAATGGAACGTTGTTGAAGTCGAAACACAAATCTTGGTCCAAAGGCACTGAGAATTCTTGGCAGAAGGAATCAGGAAGAAAACCGGCAGCAGTTGCTGCATCATCAAAGCAATCAAAGTTGAAGTCATTAGAGAAAATGGCATTCATTTCAGTTGGAACTGTGTCCCAATTGTCTCTTCTCAGGGCCAATAATTCCTCTAGGAATCCTTGTTCATTCATCTCCCTCTCTTTTTTCTTGCCTTTTTGCCTTTTCTCTCTCTCTCTCTCTCTCTCTGGGGAATGCTATTATTACTAGAAGATGCCTTGAGGAAATGAAAGTCTGAAACCAAGCTTAAGAATTTATAGCCACAACACATTTGAAGTGGGAGTATAACCTATGATTATTCACTAAAATATTTTGTAATTTAGGTCTATTCGAATTTCAAATCATCATTATTAATTAAAATAATATTTTAATGTTTATTCAAACATAAAATGAGTATTATCCTTGAAAATTGTTAAAATCTAGAGTAAATAAAATGCACAAAAAAAATCAGGACATGATTCGGTGCAGTTTATGGAGAAGGCTGTTTCAAGGAGGAATGATTTCAATTTTCAAGTCATTTCAACGGAAATCTCTCCAATAATTTGTGAAGACACTCAATTTCGACCATATAAATTCATGCTTATGTGTTATTGTTTATATATATATATATATGTGTATTGCATAATATACATATGATTTATTATAATTATATAACACGTTTTTTTTCCTCTTGTTTTTACATGATACAGGCCCAAGGAATCACAAGCCCGACAATAAGGACCCAAGACCCGTTTCGAAAGTCAGGGTTTCCAGAAAATGCTAAGCGCGCCGCCGCTTCTTACATGCCCTATCTCTTCCAGAAACCCTAAGTGCGTCGCAAGACCCCATTTGCTTCACGCCTCAGTCCTCTCCGTGCACGCCTCTCCAACAGTCTCCGAAACGTCCGACTCATCACCAACAACCAAAGCATCAACCCAACATTAGACTTCTATTAGGATTTAAAGATGTAATCTAAAAATAGGATTTTTCTTCTGCTATAAATAAATGTAAAATCACCCATTGTGGAGGAGGGTTTTTTTTACATCAAATACACAAAAAATACATACGAAAACAGAAGGGATTTATGCTCAAGTACTTCACACACGATTTACAGAAATCACCGAGGAATACGCATGTAATACACGTCGAAATCCGAGAAAAGCTTTGTAGTATTCGGATGAAGAACAAAATAACTTTCAAGGTATCCTCCATTTTTACAACATCATTTTTCATTTTATTTTGCATGTTCGAAATATCGAGTTTCATAAAGCAAATAAAGGTTTGATTCTTTACCTGAGAGAGACCCATTTCCCGACGAAACTTCTTCGACCTTTCTCATGTCGTTTGGGGTTTCTTTAGTGTAAAAACGACGATGGTTGTATGGTGAAATTACAGCGAGTGAATAGCCGCAGGAGAGAGGCCGAACATGGCCATTTGGTTCTGATGAAGTGTAGCGTATGAAAGAAGAGTCAGGAGAGGCTAACGTTGAAAATAAATAAATAAATGGAAAATAGTAGACTTTTAGTTTAAGTTCTTTATCTTTGCTTTGCTTTTTAACTTGGATTGGCAGTTAAAAAATCCCACCGACAATTCATTTGTTTTTAAGTTACATTTGCTTCCAGCTTTCACATATGGGTCCACTTTCCCATCAAATTTACTTTTGTTTTTATTTGTTTATTCATTTATTATTATTTTTTTCATCTAATTTATTATTTTATTATTATTATTTTCTTTATTTCACTCGTTTAACCTTTCTTTATTATTTATTTTCCTTTTTATCTAACATGTCTTTTGATTTTTAAAAAGTTATATTTTTAATTAATCGGGGTAAGTGTGGGATCGTCTTTTTACCTTTTAATTTAAATTTTTATTTTTTCTTAATTAAAGACAACTGGAAATTACGTAGTATCGAAAGGGCAGTTCAAGGGTGCTAACCCTTCCTTGACTGTAACCGACTCCCGAATCTGATCTACCTATTTGTTTTAAAATAAAAGATCGGTGGTGACTCCAATCAACATTTTTCAAGTCGAAGCCCAATTCCGGGGCCCAACCGAAAGACGGGTACGACAGCTTGGCGACTCCACTGGGAATCGGTAAGTGAGTCAGGCTAAGGTAATTTCCAGTTGTCTTTTTAACGAAAAGGGTAAGTTTAAATTTTAAGGTAACATTTCGATCCTATTTACTTGCTTTTGATTATATTTCCGAGTAAATAGTTGTACTAACCGTTTTCTCAATGATTTCAGCCTTTCAAGTCTTTTTCATCTAAGGCTCTATACCCGAGCTCCAAACCCTTTTAAGTGGGGGTGAAAGCGACGCATTCGTGTGAATTTATTCGCCGTATATGCCTAGCAAGTAGCCTTCGGGATTCATATACCTTATGTCTTCGTGTGAATTTATTCACCGTGCGGGCATAAGGGAATGTTTCCTCTCGAGTTTAACTTAGTCCACATAAGCTTGTAATGGGCTTAGGACTAAGGGTCTGGCAAGCCCAAGGGGGCACCAGCAAGGAGAACTCGGGTACCTCTTTTAGAACCTAAACCCGAAGAGTACAAGGAGTTAGGGCCCACCCTAAAACCTCATTTCAAACCCTAGGATGCAGGAATTATTTCCTGCTTTACTTTCTGTTCAAAGCATGTGAACTAGAAATTTATGCGATTAGGAACCAACTTACGGGATAGAGATCATGTCTGGGTAGGAATAATAAGCATGAGGGGTAGATATCATGTGGGGTAGGATTTTTTATTTTTATTATTATTTTGATTTACCTCACTAACTCTTCCTATTTTCGTTCTCTTTTATTTTGTTTTCATCATTTGCATTATCTAAAAGAGGTGTTGATCCACAAAAATGTGTTTGTTAAACTCGAATAATCTGCGTTAATGGACAAAGGGGTTGTAATACAAGAGATGAAAATGCAGAGGACAAGGCGACTATGTGTCACCTTCAAACCAGAAGACGTGGTGCCCACAACTGAAGAGTATATCACTCTGCTGTATTATAAAGGACTCAGAATGAAGCGGGTCTACATCAAGCACAATGAAAGTCTATCTTTGAAGAACTGACTGGCAGAGGTTATTGGGGCAAGATGAAGGTTACTGATCTTGGGAGTCCCTTCAAAGGCAACAATGGCAAAACGATAGCCGGAATTGGAGACCATTGCTGACGAATTCAATGAACAAACTAATGACTTCACATATTTCCTATCAATCGAGGGCTCCAATGACGCATTCGTTGGGGAAAAGCTCAACAAAAGATAGATGCTAGAGATGCAGTCATTCAAGACTTCTTGGGCCAGTACCCATCCAGAGAAGCTGGAGTGGTTCGACATGTTATTCAACCAGTGACATACGAATACAGAAGACTAGTCAACATGTCAAAAGCTGTCAGAATATTTTTGTCTCTTAATAGATAAAACACTTTTGTCCCCAATGAGGATTATTCATAATAACAGACACATTTTTTGGATTAATGCCTCAGATATTTCATGCATCATGCATTTAGACATATTTTGCATTTCGTTATTTTCATTGCATTCACATCAACTAACGGAAGAATGTCTCAATGAAGGAATAAATACTGGATACACTGCCTCAAGCGTTGGACACACCTCATCCGCATAACACCCGCTTGAAAAAGAAAAGACAAATGGAGGCCAGAATCGCTCAAATCGAGGAGAACATGGCGAAATTGCAAAAAGAACTTGAAAATAAGATAAACCAGAGTAGTCTGAGTACTCTGAATACAATCATGAAGAACCAAGAATCTCTGGTTGATCAGATCGTTGCCAAGTTAGTTGGCCTACAACAGACCAGTGCGCCTGGGGCAGGTTCACCGGAAGGGGTAACTATACCACCTACCCCACAAGTGGCTGTCTCACCTGAAATCTTACCCGGATTACAAGGGGACTCATATGCTGTCAAGGGGAAAGCCATATCTGGTGCAAATATACAAGCTTCCGTGACCAACACTCATCCGGAAGACTATCACATCCCAGATTTTGACGAGGATGATAAGGCAAAGAAGATGGAAGAGAAGATCAAGATGTTAGAAGATCAAATGAAGATGGTCCAAGGGGACCATGATTATTATGGAGTGGACGCAATGGAGCTGAGCCTGGTTCCAGATCTGGTGCTTCCACCAAAGTTTAAACTCCTTGAGTTTGAGAAGTTCGATGGGAACAGCTGCCCTTCAGCCCATATCACTATGTTCTGTCGGAAGATGACAGGATATGTAGGGAATGACCAACTCCTGATCCATTGTTTCCAGGAGAGCCTGTCCGGTTTAGCCATCCGGTGGTACAACCAGTTCAGCCGAACTCATATCAAGACATGGAAAGACTTAGCCAAGTCTTTCTTAGAATAATACAAGCATATCAACGATATGAGACCAGATCGGGTTATGCTACAAAGCCTGGAGAAAAAGCACAATGAAAGTTTTCGACAATACGCACAACGATGGAGGGATCTGGCTGTGCAAGTTCATCTACCCTTGGATGAAAAGGAAACTAGGAAGCTATTCGTACAAACCCTGAAAGCGCCTTACTTCGGGCACCTGGTGGCAATCACATCGGGAAGTTTCTCAGATCTAGTTATGGCTGGAGAGATGATCGAGCTAGCTATAAAACAAGGAAAAATTGAGGGAGATGACTCCAGTAAGAAGCCTCCCATGAAGAATATCAACAATGTTAGCACCTACAACGCCAACAAAGGTGTTACAGTCTCCACTGCTGTTGTACCATCCGGTACTTCTAAACAAACTCAAAAGGAACCAAGGCAAGAAAAGATTTGAATCAGTCCAATCCCAATGACGTATGAGGAGTTACTCCTAACGCTAGTTGAGAAAAATCTTGTGACCCCGGTCCAATCCAAACCTAGAGAGGCCCCATATCCTGAAGGCCATGATATTAACGCCGTATGCAACTATCATATTGGGAGCTCAGGGCACACCACTGAGAATTGTGGGGCATTAAAACGTAAGGTCCAAGATCTGATCAATTCAGGGGCTTTCACTTTCAATATGTAATGGGGCATTCTGATCGAGAGTCATATGGGGCATCCATTAGGAATTTTGTTGCATTATCAAGCATATCATCTTGTTTGAACTTGTTTTTCTTTCGTACTTCTTATGCGTAAACATTTTTAAGTCACTTGACGTTTAAACAAAATGCTCCCCTCT